AAAGTTTCTGTTCAGTTGATCTGTGAATACATTTAATTTTCACTTCAAATGGGCAATAACTTCAGCAGTGATATTTCATTGCTCAGAACAACAATATAGGACAACGGAACCCCCCCCAAGGCAGTCTGAATAGTCCAGGTGAGTATTATGTAGATAAGGTTCACAGAGTAAGCAGGGTCAGCTTGAATTTGCTGAATCTAGAAATCCCCCCCAGAAAAAAAAAAAAAAAAATCTGTATTTTATTTCTTTCCTGTGCACAAGTTCCATCTTCTCCTAGATAGAGCCATTACAGAGCAGAAAGATTTTTTTCATAACATTCATTGTGGACTTATTTAAGGAGAGTTTCACACAGAAAACAAAACTTTGCAAACAATCCAAGCTCTATTCTTTGTTGATTTTGATTGTAAGACACATTAACTGCAGAAGTATCCCAATAAAACCACATAAAGGCAGAAAAGAAAATGAGTAGACATCACCATTTTTGCGTGGAATAAGCAGTTTCAAATTTCTAAGTGATTGACATTACTCCTGTTGCTCTCTCCACTGGAAGAAAAAACACATTAAAAAAAAAAGTCATGAAAAGTTCTGTGAGATTCTCCAGAGCTGAGTTAGGAAAGTCGGTGCACATTATGCCTTTGTACAAAAAGCATCTCTGCCAGATGAATCATGTAAGTAACAACTTACTGCATTTCTCTGTTCCTGTGATGAGACACGAGCGACATGAGTGGGATTTTCTTTGTAAGACTCCTGGGCAGGATGAAATTCCACAAGCAAAAAGTATGAGATGTAGATGCTAAAAATAATGCAGAGATATTTATATCTATGACTACACTCATCTTCCTACTAGCTCATACCTTTTACTTCCTTGTGAGCTTACACTTTGGTTTCTCTAACACATTTCAACTGCAAGGCCTTTGAGGCAGTGACAGTTTTCTCACATAAAGAAAATTTTATGCGTCACGCAATGAGTTGATGCGTAAAGAATCTAAGTGATGCTCTAATACAAAAACCATTAATATTGGATCTGATGAGTTATGACAACATGCAGCTCAGTCAACAGAAAAGATAACTGGTTAAAATAATAATTTCTTTCTGGTCTTGTGGTCTTAAATTCTGTGCAGAATGGCTGTTCCACTTGCATATTCTGAAGTATACTTCAGAAGACCCTGTGAGCCTTAGGACCAAATGTGGAACAGAAATAGCATATTCGTCGGGTGGGTGGATATCTGTTTCTCAGTTTTTAAAGACACTTTTGTCAATACAGCCTGAGAGAAAACAGTCCTATAGCTTTTGCTGAAAGTTTGCCTCAAAGTGCTGCCTGGTTGTGCAGGTGTCTGATGGCAGGGTGATAAGCTGCCATAGGAAACCCCCTGTACACATGCAGGTTATGATAGACGTTCTCAGGAGAATGAATATCAATTCTGAGCGGGCCAACTGGAAGATGAAAAAGTGCATGTCTAGATCTCATGCGTGGTACAGGCAAGCTAGCTACACTGCTGAAACCACAAGAATGAGGGAAGACGTTATCACCCCAAAATGAAATACAGTCACACAACTCTACTTTTCAGTATAATTACGTAAACTGGATGCTTTTAAGCCCCTGATTTCCTCTGGATAATCATGGAGCACCTGTAGCTAAACTAGGTGTCTCATTATAGAAACTTGTTTAAAAAAAATTGCAGTAATTACGTTTAAAATACAGCCCAGAACTCAAGGTTTGTGTTTTAACACTTGAAACGAAGCAAACTGGGATCTGGTTACACGCACTATCACAGGAGTGACCTATTCAAACTACATTGCTCTGGTTAAAAAGCAGATATGCTGAAAGTAGAGGATTTCTCATGAAGGGTTCAGCACTCAAAAATCAAGTTCCAATTTTGATCCTGCCATGAAGTGAGCACATTATCAGCAAATGAGAAATACCTTAAAAGAGTATGAAAGTCCTTGCACACCAAACCTTACATCTCTTTTATTAAGAGCTTGTTGCTCACATGAGGAATAGTTTTTCAAAGGTGCAACAAATCTTGGTAGTTTCAGGAAAGAGAAAACCCAGCTACCCATGAATGCTCAATTTTTACATTTTTAAATACAAGGAAAAGTAAGAAAGGTCAATCTACAGAACACAAACAGGGACAAATTATGCTGCTAGTTTTTCAGTCAAGAAGTAACAGTGAATTCAGTGAAATTAGAGATGTACTCAAAGCTAAATTTGGCCTTGTAAATAGAAAAAAAAACAGAGCCATTTGCAAAGATATTCTGAACAAAATTACTCAGCTGAAACTCAATGAAATCACAGCTTCAATAGCATTCAGTATACATTACTGAATGTGTCAAACAGCACTAGAACTTACTGTAACAAAAAAGGTACTATGTATGTACACTAAGATGCTTTCAACTGCACTCTAGTGTGACTCTGATTAGACTTCTGTCACACAAAAAGATGATGTAAATTATTCAGATTATGCCTTTTTCATATCTATAAAAGGATCTATCATGTTTACCCAATCTTCCACAATTTAATATAGTCTGACACGTTTTAGGAGGATTGCAGGCTCTGTATCACTTCAAAGTTATAATTTACTACCTGTGTGAAAACTGAAAATACAGCAAATGAAAATAAAGTTGAGGACATAAGAAAAAAAACCCCAACAGTTCATTACCACATTCTTGTTCTGAAATATACAGAAATTCCATTTTCTGAAATGTGATTTTTATTATTTGAACAAATGATAGTTCACTTACACAAAATACCCTGAAACAAAAAAAAATTATTTGTAAAAATTAGCACTGTGATAGTTACATATTAGTTTAGTAAGCAAAAGATAGTATACTCAATAACTAGGATGAGGGACGAATGTCAGGTTTCGGAGTTCTGTTCTGAACTATATTACAAATGAGCTATGGAATCAGCTATAAAAGCAGTACAATAGCAACAGTGAGGGTTAATTCAAGTTTCTGAAGAGCTTTGCAGTCTAAGTATAGCTTATGTAAGTAAAGCGAAAAATAAACTCTAGAAAGCATAATATACTTATGGTTACAATCAGAATTATAACCATGCTAACTGACGGAATGTTAACAGATGAGCCATAAACACACATGCACAACTCCACCCATAGTAAATCCACCCTAATTATTGGTTTATGAACAAGAAAATTCAGATTAAAATTGTTTATAATATTGAGGTAATATTTCTAACATCCATATGCAGAAGCATAGGAACTGTAGTTTAGCTAGGATTTTAAAAAAGAGAATAGTTATTTATATATTGACAAATCTAGATTAAAGAAGAAGATAGCTAAAATAATATCCTCAACTTCCGTATATTTAGAAAGCTGTCCATGAAAAAAGAAACAAAGGATACTCAATGTATGCTTTTCTTTTCATTTTGACAGTGGAAAAACAAAGGCAAAAGGAGATAAAAGAATGCAAGTTTAATTCATGCAGCCAAATGCAGTACAGTGAAGATACAATGTTTTGTTTAATCAGGTTTTTGGTTTTGCTTATGCAAACCTCAGACACTTCAGATCTGTTTTGTACTTTCAACATACCAAAGTTCAAAAAAGGTTGCACCAAAAGGTCACATTACAGAAACACAGCAGAATGTAACTACTCCTGTAGTGGACGCCTGGTTACACTGGGTCGTGCAGAGCTGTTTTATACTGCTACACTGTGCGAACCAGAGAGTAGCACAGCCACAGGTGTGCTGTCCTACACCTGAGACAGGAATACTGCAGAACCAAACTCACCCTTGGAGAAACAGCTGCAACATCTCCCCACCAGACTGAGATCACTTGCAATCTGTTCTGGCTAATCCATAACAAGACAACTGACCATGCAGTGGTATGTACTGGAAAAAGCCGCCTAGCTCACATAGAGGTAGCTCTTACAGAAACAACTGGTTTTGGTTTTAGACCTGGGAAGGCCCGGCTGTGACACTAGCCAGCGACACTGTCCTATGCAATCATGGAAGATTTTTGCTTCAGAGTTTCTATGGCCACAAGCAGCCAATCTCTTAATGTTATGATCACCACCATCTTCACCACTGGGAAGACGACAATACATAGTTTCCCTCACTTTCTCTAAAAAGCAAGGAGATGGTTAAGAAACTGAGTGGTCTTCAGGTGCAGTTCTCCCGGACAAATGCTGGAAACTGTCCCTCAGGATTTCAAGGACTCTGGCCAGAAATCAAGAAATCCAGGCTCTGCCTAGCTAGTTGCAAACATGACTATTTGATGACAAGTGTCAAAAATTACAAAAGAAAGAATATTTTTTTTAAATTAAATATATGCCCAAGCATCCATAAGTTAGCAAGACCTCCATTAAGAACACAAAATTAACAGCTAGGAAAGTACAAAATTTTCTTTGTTTACTGGAAGAGTTTCCCATGCTAGCCAGGACTAAGATAAAAGTTGCAGTAATTTTTTTTTTCCTGTGCTTGTTTATACGATGAAGGTCATGTTATTTTAAGGAATTTCAACCCTTCATCAGACACAGCAGACTATGAATTCCTCTGGGGAGATCTGAGGTCTGGTTTAATTGCTTTTGCCAACCTGTTGTCTTATTGAGCCACAATGATTTGTAGCAAAATCAATGGAAAATGACAAATATGTAGAACTTTCATCTTCATGGTCTTTTAGATTGTTCTTGTAGACTCACCAAAATGCAGAGGCAAAAGATTTCAGTTTATAACTGGGATGGAAGTCAAGTAACCCTTAAAAAAGTTTTCTCTGTCAGGTGAAAACCAATCAAGTCATCATGCTAGCTTTAAAGTCATTCAATTTCAACAAACACCTTTGATCTCTCTCAGTGTTCTGTTACTAATCTACTGGTGCTGAAGAAATATGCAAAATGCAGAAATGACAATGAAAAACAGAACCTTGTCCTACCTAGACACATTACAGACTAGAGCAGGTCATGGGAAAAGTAACTCAGTTCTTAGTCGCATAATACACAAAATCATCAGTTCCAAGAGGAAAAAAAACCTAATGCTTTCTGCTTACCTGGTACGGAACAATACTCCCATGAGCAGTACCCCAGCGTTTTGCTTCAATTTTGCAATTCAGGTAACTGGCTGCTACATGAGTGAGACATGCAACCTGGAAATGGAGAAAAAGTAAAGTATTCAGGAAAGCTAAAACTTTCTTGACAACCTCTGAGACTTCTGTATATTTACATGTGCTTGAGATACAAAAGTTAAAATACTTATCTCACAAAAGTATCCTTCATATTTTACACATTATGCAAACTTTTTTAATATGAAAAAAAATTAGGCCATATCTATATCATGGAAGTGCTTGCGTAAGTACAACTCCATAGACAAAAAATACTACATGTCCTATAACACTACTAATACTAGACAAATCTAGCATTAAACTACCCTAAGAGATAAAACAGTATTACCCTAAATACTTTGCAGAATGGTCAACTGCAGCAAAGAAAAAAAAAATCAGTGTCTTGTCCAAAGTCTAGTGGGAAGCATGATGGATTTGTGGGATAGAACTCACCATTTCCTGAACCTCAATCCCATGCTTAAATCACACATACTTTTTCTCAGTTACAAGATTATCTTTCTGTTTTCTCCTGTGCTTCTCATTTTACGTTCAAGCTATGGAAAATAATTCTGAATTCTTCAGCTTCCCCATATGCTCTGTAATATTAATTAAGTGGAAGGCCTTGATAAATCATCTGCCATTAAAAGATAAGGAGAGATTTATCAAGTTATCAGTCAGACAGACAAAGCAGGAAAAAGATTAATTTTGTGAAAAAGTAGAGCATGCTGATTTAGTAACCATAATCTAAGTGGATAAATATATACTTTGTAAGCACAAATATATCTTAGGAAGAAGTGGACATTTACGATGCAGTAATGCATGAAAATCAGCGGTTCTGTTATAATCAATGGCAGATTCTTTATTCTTATATCTTAGAGAGAATACAGTGTGTGACTATATCTGAAGCCAAGTAATGCAATAAAGCATTACAGTTAGCAGCCAAGGTTATCACTAATTCACCAGACACAATGTATTTGTTTTATGCTGTCAATTAGTTGTGTGCCAGTAAGTGTGTTAACTGTTTGCCTAAACAACAGGCCATGTGACCATTTTTTTCCAAAAATACAATTTTCCTCATATTTCTTCCCTAGATGGAAGAAATTTGCTATGATGATCCAAGTGTTTACAGAGTTCTGTGCCTACTAATCTGTCTAATCTACATCGAAACATGCAGCAATAAATTCAGAGTCCACCATTCACATTCAAATATGTGAATTATATCAGAATTTCTAGAAAAGCAATGCCATTTCATTTTCTTATCCTTTCTCCATATATGCAATGTGAATATGTCACTCTCATATTTAAACCAAATATTTAACTGTCAGTCATGGATACAGTGATTTAGTCCAGCAGAAAACCTAGCAAAACATACAGTAAATAAGAATTTAACTGCTGCCAAAAACTATATCCATATATACTAACTACAAATACAATGCCTTATTTCAGAGTACTGTTGGAAAAAACTTTATAGTTGGATTTCAGCTGCAGTTTATTATATCGCAGTGTCACTTCATTCAGCTAAAATGTTGAATAATGTCTAGTCTGTCCTTCAGTCCCCAGGAAAATCTCAGCAATTCAAGAAATGGAACTGGGAAGTACACAGAAAGGACTTTTTCTTCCGTTCACAACTTTCCTCAGTAACAGAATGAAACACACTGGTATTACAGAGAGAGTTCAATGAGTCAACAAAGTGTGTTGTTCATTAATAACACATCCCCTAGACCCATTGTTCCTGTCACTTTTCAATTTGGGGTCACAATCCATAGTGATATTTTTTCTACCACAGAAAATGGCTACGCAGTGACGATGACATACTAACCGTTACATATACTTCTGCATTTCTGTGTAACACTACACAGCTGCTGTATTCCACACCAATTTCACTGACAGGTGAGATGCATCCACTACAATCGGCTTTTGCTTTTAAAGACACAAGAATCCTCTCTGATACACGTATCTAATTTTTCACCCTTCTGGAAGGAAAGACTTTACCAGACTTCACTGTGGGAAGAACGGAGTGTATGAAAACCTAGTGAAACAGAAACCCTATAACACTGATATTGAATATAATGGAGGCAAAATTTCATTCCATTTCTTCATTTCTATTCTATGCCCCAGAAATAGAGCTATGAGTTTCATAAACAAAATTCTACTCAGGAATTTTCACAAGAAAACTTCCACCCTTAAAAAAACAAAAATCTTTTTAACACAGTGTTACAAATCGCTTCAACTTTGTTGATGAGATTAATACAATTCTTTCAATGGTGGCAAACATACATCTAGATTTCTCCAAAGCACTTGTTCACAGTACAGTAGGAAAAAAAAATTAAAACATAATACTTGCTAGATACTGGAACTGTGCCACTAAAGCTTCTGTTCAAAGACTTGTTACAGCAGCAAGAGACAGCAAATGCCAGGGAAGTCAGAAGCTTAGTAAAGACTGAGCCATTCTGGAATTTAAAGTTGCTTAGACTATATCAAGGCCTCAGTTCAACATGATACTCAGTCTGAAGAATAATTCCATTTCAGTCAATGTACCGATCGCTTGCTTGAATGCGTATGTCTACATATCCTGCTGACACTGGCTTACTTATGATTGTTTTTTCAATAAGTCACGAAGGAAAAAGTCTTTTGGTTCCCTCCGACTTCCTTCTCCGAGTCGGGTACCTTGCTCATAGCCAAATCAGCCACCAAAAAAGAATTACTAGAAGTAGTATCATCATCATACAAATAAACTTATATTGACCACACCAAAGTAAATATTTCAGTACTTTGTACAAACGCACTTAACTGAGTGAACTCTGTGCCCTTTTTCCCCTTTCATAATAACTCTGATGAATTCAACGGACTTAAAAGGCAATTCTATTTCTGCTGTCCCATGAAGCTCTTACAGACAGTCCCAGGACTACTGTGCTTTTCCCTTTCCTCTCCTCCTGGCTCAGTTCATTCTGTCTGGTCTCTCAAAACATTTTACTCTCACTAAAAAGGCACTATCCAAAAAAAAACAAACAACCTTTCAGCATATACATTTTATGTCCTTAATAAAGAACACAAAGACATTATCTACCTACACCTTACAGTAGTTAAGCAAACTGCTGAACTATAAGCGTAAAAAAGATATCCCAAACAAAGGTTTCTACAGACATTATATCCCCTAGAAACAATGTTTTTAACAAAATAAGTCTGTTTCTCAAAATTCCCCTGTAACTCAAGACTCAGATCGATCTCTCAAAATGAAGTTTGGGTACATCTGTATTACATATTCAGTTAAGTATTTTTAAATCTCTATTTAAAATTGCTTTCCTGAAACCTTATAGACCCATTTCTTTTCTGCTTTAATTAAGAGATAATCCTTAAAAGTAACCTTTTGACTTGTAACATTAAAGCAGATTTAATACAATGATACAGACATCTCTGTATTCATTTACTTGCAGAGACAGATCTATGCACTGTAAATATGCATTATCAAATATCTACAGATAAGCGTTTCTTTATTTCACATCAATAAAGGGAACACACATTTAAACATTCCTTTCTGATATTACTGTTGATGGCAAAATCACATATTTGCGTTACATAGTTACTTGAACCAGAACAAAAAGAGAGCTGCATTAAGGTCTGAAAAGTTATGCTCAGCTTATGATGGAATCAGACAGATGGGAAACAAGATCTTTAAAGCCACAAGGTGAGCAGACAAAGGGAAGAGACAGAATTTCAAAAGATTTTTTTCAAGATAGCACATCAAACATAATTACAATGAGTTCACTGAGTCAATCACTCATTTACACGCAAGTTCATTAAGTGTGTATGAATAACAAAAGATGACAGGAAATTGGAAAGAGGAGAAAATAATATTTCAGTCATATTCTTTACTTTCTTGTCCCTCCAATTTGGTGTCTGCCTTCCTGTAACGTATCTTAACAAGGCTTTGACTCTTAGTCAAGTTAATTTATTTTTTTCCCCTCATTCTTTGTTTACTTTTTCTTAAAGTGGGCACGTAGACGATCTTTTAGGAATTTTGAGACACAGGCATTTTACAGCAGCACAGACAACTTGTTTTAAGCTATACCACTGAACTAGTAACCCAAATATTAATTTACAACTTTGTAGGAAAATATCATCCTGGAAAATTTCAGTGCCTGCTGTTGTGCTAAGGCCAACGATCTTCTACTTACACCTTTTCTGTACTTTTGGTGACACGGAAAAAGATCTTTACATGAGAAAACTTTGAACATAAAGACCACAATCCTCATTTGGTGTACACTAACAAAGCTCTCTTAAAATCACTGAGCCTATGCTGCTATTTACCTAATGACTGTTTTTACTGTTTTACATGTTTTTCCTTTCTGTTGCAATAGTTTGACACTAACAAATCAACATTCAAGTTTGATTAATTTTAACTTTGCAGTTATCCCCTGTCGCCCTTTTCATTTGTATATTTGTACTGAAGCTGCTTCCATGGACACATGCGTGGGGTGATCCTCGGCTCTTGCTTCTTTGGTGTTTTTTTTTAATTAAAAAACACATCAAAAACAAAAACGTCTATCTCTACCAAGAAAACCCACTCCATTCAGCAGAAAAACCTACTCTGCGGGTTAAAGTCTAATTAAGTTTAACCACAAGGCTTCATGAGAGTAGAAATAAGTTCTTATTAGTCTGCAATCACTTCTCTGCTGCCCATAGACAGTGCACACATGTTTTTACGTTACATCCTAAGTAAGCATTGACTCAACCGGGTCAGGACATGGCACCACACTACAACGAACAGTGCTGTTCCACCAGTTTTTAGGCATGCAGCCGTGTTTCAAATTCCTGCAAAAACGAACTGGGCAGCAGGAACCACCGCCGTGCACAGAGGAAAGCAAGCTGCCACAATTCAAAGCAGGCCATTCCACAGGGGCCCAGCAGTAAGCTACAGCCTTCCTAGGAGCTGCCGATGAACATCACCTTATGTCTGGGCACAGACCCTGGACTCCCATCCAGCCTGGAGTTGAGAGCTCTGCAAGAGCTAAAAATCAGCTCGAGTGCCATATACACATACGCCG